CGGGATTCACAGCAGCCGCTAACTCTTTCAATGCCTCTAGCCTCGCTTCCGTCGAGCACTCACCACCAACACACTAAAGCAACCAAGATCATGCTTTGCACACTGCTCTGGTCTACCGTGGCTTCGCGCTCTTTATCAAGTGTGTCGCTATGGCCTTTCCCAGACCAGACGAGGCGCCGACTACCCAAACGGCTTTGCCCTCGAAGTATCTAAGGTTGTTTATGTCTTATTTCGGCCGTGCCAGTGTACCGTTACTGAGCAGTTCTCTCGCTTATGACCGCTGAGGCCTCAATCATTCGTCCGAGTTCAACTGTGTAACTCCAACCATCTATACTACTATGAACACAACAGCTACTGCTATCAGGATTCCACACAAGGGGGAAATGCTACACAACTTGGTATAAATGAGTCATTCCCAGGCATTGACAACAGTGAGTGGTGGCGGTCGTTTCCATGACGCACTGCTGCCTCGACGGTGAAGACCTCACATGGTACATTGTTCAATCGTACATTTTCATGAGCTTCCCAGCTTCCCATGCCAGTATGCATTCTTCATCCAATTTCCGCTCGATCTCCGCCTTGCTCGGGACCTTGGCCCGCTTCTTTGGGTTAGCTGCTGGTTGGCTACTGTCACCAGACGAGTCGTCGGAGGATTCCCGCTTGAGTTGCCGTATCGGAGCAGTGTAATGAAGCTTCTCACACGTAGAGCCTGACGTAAAAACACGAGAACAATATCCGGTCCGGTAAGTTCTAGGAGGTAGCAGGAAACCGCACCCCTCATATTAGTGCTAAATTGATGCTATTCTTACCCTTATCACAAAATCCAATCTTTTCGAACGACTTGCAGACAGGCGTATCAACCTTTTTATTAACGTGCAAGTACTGGCATTTGCCAGCCATCGGGCATGTGCCATGCCGTAAGAATATTCCGCATTCTGGAGTTCTCCGAGGGTCCTTTGATCCCGCTATATCGGGATGAGTGAGTGTACACCTCCCCCCACGCGAACAGGTCCCGTTAGCTAACCACCCTTTACAGAAAGCTACTGAATTGCGATCGTGATAGTGGTAGCACTGATCGCCGTAACGACAATACCCGGTCCTAGTGAAATTGAGACATATTTGGCCAGAAGCCGACGGGTATTT